ACGTGCCCTGACTGAGGATCGAACCCGCAACCTTAGTGCATCGAGACGACACTGCAGCCAACTGAGCTACCCAGCCAGGGCCACTTCGGAAGTCTAAAAACAATTTGGTAGTCTAATCACAATCCAGTGAAATTTACAAGTCAGTTCCCTGGTCACCTTGTCCACAGCCTCAGGTGTGGAGCCTGTCAGTGCGGGTGAGAGGCCTGGGCCGCTGTGCTTTAGCTACATGTGTGTCACATACCTTAGTGTGGGTGCAGCCAATACTTCATGATAAAATGGTCTTATAATCCTCACACAGTAGATAAAATAGTCTTACAATGCTCACACAGTAAAATGTTCCCAAATGAACTACACTGCATTTTTGTTTTTCAAGTGCAGGGAACAAATTAAAATTAAAGTCTAAATAGTCATGAACAAAAATGGTGCTTTACTGCCCTTCTCCCCACTGAATAACGCAGTAGATGAAGCCCCTAAAAAACGCCTTCTTTTCCCACCCGTGGGGACTGGGCACGGCCGGGCGGGCCGAGCGCTCACTCACCAGGCTCTGCTCGATGAGCAGGCAGAAGAGGATGGCATTGCCCACCTCCCGCAGGTTCTGGAAGCACACGGTCTTCAGCTCCGCGTACTCCACGATGTCCTTCAGCTGGTGGTGGAAGAACTCCAGGATGCCTGCGGGGGGTCAGGGGCAGAAGTTTATTGACTTTTAAAGGACGAGAGAGGGAGAGAGAGAAACATTGATGTGAGAGCAAAACATCGATCCATTGGCTGCCTCCTGCATGCCTCCTACTGGGGATCAAGCCCACAGCCCGGGCATGTGCCCTGACTGGGAACTGAACCCGCAAACCCCTGGTGCAGGGGACAGTGCTCAACCGGCTGAGCTACACCGGCCAGGGCTCACCTTGTCTGCTCTACCAGAGACAGTCGGCTCTGGTTGGGCTCCCTTCCTCCTCCCCCAGGGAAAGCAGGCTGGACTCTGATCAGAAATGTCCCTTCCTGTGATCCGAGGCCAGCGCTGTCCCCTCCTCGCGGTTTCTGCAGTGCAGCCAGGCGCCCACACTCACCCGGGGAGCCGTACTCGTGCCGGGGCAGGCGGCAGATCTTGGGCATCACCTCCATCAGTGTCTTCACGTACTGCAGGATCGTGCCCTGAAGCTGCGGAGAGTCGGGCTGCATCAGCCACCGGTGCCACTGTCCCAGCGGCCGTGGGTGGTACACGGGCCTGTGACAGGGGCCTGTCAGTAAACGCAGGCTAATGGGCAGGGCTGGGAATCCTCGTGGCCGGGAAAGGGAATCCCAGCTTCCGCCCGGGCGACTTGGCACCACTGGGTGCACCACTTCCCCCCAACTTGTGTTTCCTTGAAATTCGCGTTTTAAGAAAACTCGTATTTCAGAAATGGAAATGGGAATCTTCGCAGAGCTGTCCCCTCCCAGACGCTCGCCAGCTGACCCACAAAGTCGCTCGTCACGCCCTCCTGGTTTCCTTTTCATCAGAGCACGCTTTTTCCCACGTGTCTCAGGCGACGAGATAGCCCTCTCTACAAATCTACGGGGACAGGAGCTCCTGCCTTCAGGACCTCGCTGTTGATTCCTACCCTTTAACATCGGTTAATAAGCTGCTCATCTAGGGAGTAAACTGGTTTCCTGGATTTTGTGAGCTGCTCTCACAACTTAATCATACCCAAGGGGGGGGAGTTGAAGCCTCTGGTTTATGGCCAGGTGGCTGGAGGTGCAGGTGACCGCTGGACATGAGGTTGGCATCTGGGGGGCAGCCTGTGGGACCAAGCCCTTTACCTGTGATCTGATGCTATCTGGGTGGACACTGTCAGAACTGAGTTGAATTACAGGACACCCAGCTGGTGCCTGGGAACTGCTTGAGGAGGGGGAAGCCCTCCCCCACCCCGAATTGGGGGCAGGACCCTCACGGAGGGAAAGAAGGACACCCAGGGGAAACATACCAGGCTCTTGACAACCTTCAGCAGCTCCTCCATGACCACGGCGATGCCCTGGTAGCCGAGCAGCCGGCAGATGACCTGGAAGTGCGGCGGCCCCACGAAGTTCCGGTAGCTGCCGTAAATGCTCGAGTAGGCCAGGTTCAGAGCCTGGGGACAGAGGACACGCGCTTGGCGAATGCTCCAGAGTTCACAAGGTGGCCCTATGCACACGCGAAGACGGAGCATCGCTGGGCACAGGTGCACTTAACACACAGCACCCTTGGGGGTGGGTACCCACAGAATCGGATAGGCTGCCCTTACTGGCACTGCTGTGTTTACCCTGAAGACATAAAAACCAAGCTTGCTGAAACAGAAAAAAAGAAAGGTTTTTCAACATTTATGAAACTGCCCTTTCTACTGATGCCATTTTGAGGTCCTGGAAGGAGAAATGAATGTTTATCTTAGTACCTCGCTGCTGCAACAGGGCTGAACCCCATTTCCTGGGGACACACCCAAGGACAGGCCCTGACGGGGTGGTGGGAGCTGTGTTCTCAGGATCACCAGGGAGCTGGGAAAGTATCCCCTCAGGGTGGGCAGATGAGAAAGGTGGTCAGGGTGGTTTTCTGCAGGAGAGGACTTCCAAGCCCTCTGAGAATGTGGGTCCACATGCAGCAGTAAGCACCCATGCTATGCATTTCCCTCTCAGGACACCGTTGGCTGCATCTGACAGATTTTGACATATTTGCATTTCATCCGTTCAATGCCTTTTTTTGTGTGTTAATCCTCAACTGAGGGTATTTTTCCCATTCATTTTTAGAGAAAGTGGAGGGGAGGGAGAAGGGGGAGAGAAAGAGAGAAACATTGACCTGAGAGAGACACACTGATTGGCTGCCTCTCACAGGCACCCTGACAGGGGCCGGGATCAAGCCTGCAACCCAGGTACATGCTCTTGACTGGAAATCGAACCCAGACCCTTCAGTCCACGGCTGATGCTTTAACCACTGAGCCAAACTGGCCAGGGTAGTTCAGTGCCTTTTTAAAAATTTCCCTTAAGACTTCCTCTTAACCCAGAGATCATCTGAAATGTGTTCATTTCCAAGTGTTTGGAGATTTTCTTGTCATCTGTTACAGATTTCTAACCCGAGTTCACTGTGGTCAGAGAACACACTCTGTATGCCTCCCAGTCTTCTCACTTTCTTGAGATTTGTTTTGTGACCCAGAATATGGTTTATCTTGGGGAATGCTCCACAGGTGCTTGAAAATAATGTGGGTTCCGCTGTTGCTGGGGGGAGTGTTGGACACACGTCCACCGTTGACGGTACTGTTTTTACTGCGGCCGATTTTCTGTCCAATGAGTCCATAGGTTACTAAGGGTGAGGAATGCGAGTTCCCCGCTGCTCTTTTCTCTGTTCACCTACGTTAATGCTCACTTGAGGTATTTCAAAACTCTCGTTTTGTGCAAAAACATTTTGGATTGCTGTATTTTCTTCGTGGATTGACCCTTTTATCATTATGTAACGTTCCTGGTAATACTCTTTGCTCTGAAACCTACTTTATCTTTAAAAAAATTTTAATTTATTGATTTGAGAGAGATAGAGGAAGGGAGAGGGGGAGAAAGTGAGAAAGGGAGAGAGAGGGAGAGAAACGTCAAGTTGTTCCACTTATCTATGCATCATTGGTTGCTTCTTGTACGTGCCCTGACCAGGGATCGAACCCGCCGCCTTGGTGTATCAGGATGATGCTTTAAGCAGCTGAGCCGCCTGGCCAGGGCTGGAATCTACTTTATCTTACATTAATACAGTCACTCCTGCTTTCCTCTGATCAGTGTCTGCATGATACATCTGTTTCTATCCTTCTACTTTCAACCTACCCGTATTACTAACTTGAAGCGAGTTTCTTGCATGGTCATGTTTTTCAATCCTATATTCCAATCTGCATTTTAACTGTACTTAGACCCCTTACATTTAATACATTTACACACAACATAATTACTGATATTTAAGTGGGCACTTGAGTAGGCTGTTTCATTCTTCCTGTCTTTCTGAGGGTCACTTAAACATTTTTTAGAATTCTACTGTGATCTACCTACAGTGTTTTTGAGAGTATCTCTTTGCACAGAACTTTCAGTGGTTGTTCTAGGTTTTACATTATACATTACGTAAGTTATCACAATCTACTGTGATCAGCATTTTACCACTTCAAGTGAAGTGCACCAGGCTCACCCCCATTCAGGCCCCTGGATCCTCCCCTCTGCCCCCTTTATAACTGTCCTGGATGCTTCCTCCACACACACTGAGACCGCATCAGGACACAAGGATTCTGAAGAATCAGCACAGCACGCCCGGCTCCTGAGCATCTCCAGGAGGCCCGTCTGCGACGCGGCTCTTGGCATTCTGCTACGTTATGATTGATAACGTGGTTTTCTGCACCTGGGGCGCACTGCCATGCTGATTCACGGTGGGCGCCTCCTTTCCTTCTGGGGGTGCTGGGGTCTCAGTAACTGGCTGGTCACACCGGCGGCCCACACACCCACCCCAGGGAAAGCCTTGCAGCTGGGCACCCGTGTGGTTTCTCTTCCCTGGGCAGAGACGCTGTGCACACCCCCTGCACCCCTACTTTGGAGGGACGACTTTGGCAGCCTGTGCCTGGTCCCAGCACCACCGGACATGTCTGTTTCCTTTCAATGCTGCTTTGTAATCTTTTGCTACAATAAACCGCAGCCATGAGAACTAACTGAATCCCTGATCCTTCTGGAGAATTTCCAAGTGTGTGGGTGGTCCTAGGACCCCCAAAACTGGAAATCTGAGTCTAAACCAATGATCACATACCACACTGACCAAGTGTGAGGCCCTGCCAAGTGCCTGTGCCATGCGCACTCCCTGACCCTATCCGACTCAAAAGGACAAGTCTCATCATCGGCTCGGACACACACTCCTCCCCTCACCCCTCCGGAAAGCGCCGCCCCGTGCTTTAAATGCTGGGATTCTAGGTGGGATTTCTACTTGAAAGTAAAAACATCAAAATCATTAGTGAAATCTAAGGACCTCACACTGCAAGTGAGGACATTGGCTCCCAAAGCAGCCCTGACTTCCTGAGGGCCTGGGCTCAAGAACAACGGTCCCCGGCTCCCCAGCCAGTGTCTGCCCTCCCTGTTGATGATGCTCACCCCACAGAGGGCACATTTCAGGGGCAACACAACTAGAGGGAAAGGAGGAGGGGGTAAAACACTCAGACCCAGGAGGAGAGCACTTGGACATCCAGCCTCACAGCTCAATTCAAGGAGCACTCCACTGGCGACGCCTGATGCGGAGAAGGCGGCCTTGCCCAGAAACCAGAGGACACAAGCCCTGGACCCACTAGTCACTCGCCTTGGATTCTCTAACACCCGCAGCCTGACGTGTCTTCAACTGGGAACTGGGAACAATGTTTTTTTCTTTTTTTTAAATATGTTTTTATTGATTTCAGAGAGAGAAAGGGAGAGGGAGAGAGAAACATTGATGAGAGTGCAACATCGATCGGCTGCCTTCTGCACGCTCCCGCCCCCTACAGGGAATCGAGTCCACACACCCAGCATGTGGCCTGACCTTGGGAATCAAACCAGCAACCTCGTGGTTCACGGGTCAACGCTCAACCGAGCCAGGCCAGCAGCCAGCCAGGAAAATGTTTCTTACGGTAGAGGAAAGAGCATATCAGTGATCTGCTCAAGACAGTTCACTCAGATGGTGGCATTACCAAGAACCGAAAAGATAACGCCATAAACAGGCCCCTCACCTAAGTCAATTTTATTCCCACAGACACTAGTCCTAGCTCATCTAAGTGGCCCTGGCCAGTGTGGCTCAGTGGTTAGTGTCAGCTCGCATACCAAAGGGTCTCGGGTTCAATTCCCGGTCAAGGGCATGTACCTGGGTTGCAGGTTCAACCCCCGCCCCAGTCGGGGTGCATTTGGGAGGCACCCAATCAACGCGTCTCTTACATCAATGTTTCTGTCTCTCCCCCACTCCCTCCCTTCTACTCTTTCTAAGAATCAATGGAAAAAACATCCTCACTCCTTGGGTGAGGATTTGAAAACACACCACCTGACCCTGACCCCGTGCTCCCCACCCCACCCCGCGAGCGAGCGAGGTCTGCGCCCAGCAGGCCGCCCCGGGGATGGGCAGCAGACAGTCTCCCTCTCCCCTCCCTGCTCCTAACCGTCCAAACTCGGCACCTCGGCCGCCTGCCGGAAGCCCAAAGTAGCGTCGGGTCTTCCCTTCCCCTCACCCCCTGTCCAGGTCACCAGCAAGTCCGGTCAAGTCCTCTCCAGAGCACCCCGAACCCATCTACTCCCGGAAGCCGCTCGAGGCTGACAGCCGCCCCTCAGTGCTCCAGGCGCGCAGCTCCCACAGGCGCCGCCCGACACCGTGGAGCGCACGGGCCGCCCGCCTGCCGCAGACAGAAACCGTCACTTTCAGCTTGAAATTCCACGAATCCTCAAAACACAGGCCATCCTGCTCCTGCCAGGGCTGGCTGCCAGTCCCCCCAACACACCTCCTGTTTCCTTCTCCACTAACAGGTGGAGGAGTTTAAATGACATCAACGTACACAGCGTGTGGCGCTGTCACAAGGTCTAGCGGTGCCAGGAGGGCCGTGTGCATAATGCGCCCTGAGGACGGCAGAGCCTGAGAAGCGGAGGGAGGAAGCGGGTGGGGGACGGAGTCACAGCCCGAGAGCGGCCCTTTTACGTCAGTACGGAAACAGCCTCCTCTCTGCACCTCGGAGGAGCTCGTCCTGCCCAAATCTCAGCCCTGAGCTTGAGATCAGAGTCGAGGGCTGTGCTGCCGCGGGCGCCGGGCCCCTTCCCGCATGGCCCGCAGTGACACCACATCAGAGGGACAGCGCACAACCAGCGAGAACAATGCAGACACATCAAAAAGAGAACTCGGCAGAGGAAGCCCTGTGTCACGCCCGGCCCTCCCAGAGGAGCAGCTGGGTAACTTCCCCTGCTCTTTTCTGTTTGTAATGAGAGCCATTCTGTTTGGAGTTTAATTTTTTTTAAATAGGTTTTTAATTTTTACTTTTTTAAGAGAGAGTGAGAGAGAAACATAGATAGAGAACCATCAACTGGCTGCCTCCCGTATGCTCCCTACTGGGGATCGAGCCTACAATCCGGGCATGTGCCCTGGCTGGGAATCCAACTGGAGACCTTTCACAAGTCACATGGGGACAGGCTGCCCTGGTCCCCTCTCACAGACAGGCCCCCTGGCCTCTGCACACTTTCTTAGCTTCCTATTTTTTAACCTTTAAATCTGCCAACAATCTCACTTATTTTAGTGCCAGGAGTGAGGTCAGGCCCAGCCAAACAGCATCTCTTGGCCAGAGGGCTGTCCCAATAGTACATTACTTTTAAAAAAACAATAACATTTTGCCCTGGCCGGTGTGGCTCGGTTGGCTGGGCATCGTCCTGGGCACCAACAGGTCATCGGTTTGATTCCCCATCGGGGCACATGCCCAGGTTGCTGGCTTGATCCCCAGTAGGGGGCGTGCGGGAGGCAGCTGATCCATGTTTCCCTCGCACATCAGTATTTCTCTCTCCCTCTCTCCCTAAAAAACAACAAACAAACAAAACCCCAAAACAGTAACATTTTATACCTGGCATGATATAGTTATATCATCATAACGAAATTGAACTAAACTTCAAAATATGCTTAACTATGAACTTAAAAATCATAACACAAGCACAAAACGCCTACCTTGGACCCATGTAAATACTGGGGTTGTGCATTTGGCTGTTTGTCTCTTTGAAATTCTTGAGAAAATGGTAACACTGTCCGAACAAATCTAAGAAAGAAAGAAAAAAGAAAACAAAAAATGTAATGGTCCTTAAAAATTCAGTGAAATTTTTAAAATTTCATTGCGCATCAAGTAAATCTCCCAGTTCACTGAAATAATCACAGGAAACCTCCAGGGACTCACAACCAGAACATGACTGAGGTAAGAACACTCTGAAGGCTGAGAAATGGACCCAGAGTTCAGGAACGAAGCACAGCAGGGAACCCGGTAAACACAGTCTGCAAACCCAGGGGGCCGGTGCACGGCCCCCAGAACCGTTTCAGGCCTAATTCAGTCCACTGGGAAGTGGTAACGACCTCGCACCTGGCCTTGCTGGGGCTCTGGACCGGCTGTGATGCGGGGCCTGGGCGGAGAGGCGGGTGTGGGCAGTGATGTCAGTTATTCACATCCCCAGTCATGAGCCATCGGGAAGAAACCACGTGTTATAACCACACGCACTTAGCCACGGACCGTGGTGTGATAACAGATTGGGAGCCGCTGAAAATCAAATGCTTGGATTTATTTTTTTGAATTATGTTTTTATTGATTTTAGAAAGAGTTCAGGAAGGGAGAGGGAGGAGAGAGAAAGTGAAACAAGATCAGCGGCCTCCTGCATGCCCCCTACTGGGGATCGAGCCAGCAACCTGGGCATGGGCACCGACGGGGATTCGAACCAGCAACCTTCTGGTGCACTGGACTGTGCTCAACCCACTGAGCCACACCAGCCAGGGCAAATGCTTGGATTTTAAAGTAGAAACGTCAACCTTGGTTAACCCTTTCGAATCAGATGGGTTATCTTAAACACGAAAGTTTTGCAAAGGGGCCTAATAAATAAAAATACATGGACCTGTTAATTATTAGATTCTAAGAACTTGATGAGCACATATTATATGTTAATAAATAAAAAGTGTACACCTGTCAAAGTACCTCCAGCACATGAAGCACATGCTCATGGCCGAGGGGAGGCCAGAGGCCTGCAGCGCAGACGCATTTATGCACAAACACGCTGTCGAGTGTCTGGATTTTGTTGTTCCCCTTTAAAGAGTGCTGTTTTTTTGGGCAAGCCGTTAAATTGTTTGCAAGTCAGCTGGACCCTTTCATGACTTGTTAGGGTGGCAGCAGGGCTGGTGCCAAGGTAGGCCCTTCTGGCAAATCTACCCAATGCCTGGGCCTTCGATGAGGTTGCCATAGTCTTGCGGGCAGAGCCTCAAATGACACCCAGCTCCGGGCACCAGTCTACAGCTCGCTGGCAGCAAGCTCACTTTGTCTAGCCTCACGGAGCAGCACCCAACGCATGCCGTTTAGTGTTCGGGCAAAGATGAAAGGGCCCCTGCGTGGGTTTCAGGGCTGTTTCCCTGTGTAGCTCCGATGCCCACACTGTGCCCTGCAAACTCCAGCTGTCCCAGCTGCCTCCGTTTCCCGTCTGTCTCCCCACCAAGTGAGACTCCCACGCTGGACGTGGGTTATGTCCTCTGCTCCGCTGCCCGGAACTGGCTCCAGGCAGAAAGCCAGGGAACCCCTTGTTTCCGTTCCCTCAGGAAATGGCCAATGTCTGAAAACAGCTGTGTCATAAATTTTGTCCAGTTTTTCACTTGTTTAAGGCAAGAAACTGAATCCAAACTGAATTATTCCATTATCCCCAATAACTTTGAAAAATCACACATATTCTCAATCTAAAGACAAAAAAAACCTGGAGAAACAGTGAATTCTAGCTAGCAGGTCTGTTGCACAGTAGTGAGGATTACTAACTCTGAGATGACGTCCTGCTTTTCTAGAGCTGCGCAAATGCGTCAGTACACTAAGGACAATTAAACGAGGGCTCTCGGTGTGACAGGAAGTTACCGACACGGGGGGGACTGGGATGACCCTGCGCAGCTGAGCTAAACTGAAGAGATTGGTGAGCATGTGGTCTCGATACATGAACAGCTACGGAGAGGCAGTGCCTGCGCACACACGTTGTGAGTCTGTGTCCCCAAAAGATGATCTGAAGTCTTATGACCAGAACCTCAGAATGTGACTTATTCAGAAACTGGGTTGTTGCAGATGCAATCAGTGAAGGTGACATGATGGTGGAGTGGGGGGGCCTGAATCCCAGAGGACTCACGGCCTTCCAAGGACAGGAGAGACACAGGGAAAGCGCCACGTGACCACAGAGGCTGGGGTGGGTGACTGCACGCCGAGGACCGCCCAGGGTCCACGGCCAAGAGCAGAAGCTGGAAGAGACAAGGAAGGGTCCTGCCCAGTCTCAGAGGGAGCAGGGCCTGCTGACACCCTGATTTCTGACATCCAGATTCCAGAACCGTGGAAAAATTTGTTGCTGACAGCCCCCTTTGTGGTCCTTTCTTAGGGCAGCAACAGGGACCCCACACAACACAGACAAGCACTTCCCACCACTGACCACCGACGGGTCTAGAAACAGCGACATCCCAGGAGCAAGGAGTATACCAAACACTCAGACCGTTTTCAAACAGCAGGCTGCACGTACAATAGTCTCCACTAAAACGAACCCTTGCTGAAATGACAGGCTGCGGGCCAGGGCAGGCACACGAGGCGAACCTGGGGCTTCTGGTGGTGCCGAAGGCAGGGCAGCGTTTAAGAGTGACCGCGACAGGCCCTGGCCTGTGTGGCCTGGTGGTTAGCGTGGCCCGAGCACTGCAGGGTCGCGGGTTTGATTCCCGTCAAGTCAGGGCGCATGCTGGAGGCAACCAATCGATGTGTCTCTCTTGTAACTTTGTCTCTGACAAGATACATGCACATACTCATTCACAAGTGCACACTCACGTGCACACGCACACCCATGTGCTACCACTTATATGCACACCCACTTGCACTCACATGCACTCACATGCACACTCGTGTGCACACACACATGCACACTCACACACACTCTCGTGCATGCACATTCTCTCACACACTCACCCATCCCTGGCACATGCTCACAGACTGGGAGCTGAGCTCACTGCACAGAAAACACATGCCAGACAGGTGGAGGCCAACCCTGGGCCATGCCAGGACGTGGGCCCAACCGTAAGGCTGGACCGCAGCAAATGCTGTCACCATCTGTGGCACCCACCCAGCTGGCCACTGGGTCTGGTTCAACATCGCAGTAAAATGGCAGGAAGATGGGAGGGCAGTTCACAAATGGATCCTCACATGCCCAAGGCCCCAGAAAGGACCCGGGAGAAGCAGTCACCCACCACGTGCCAACATCGGGTGGAGGTGAAGCTGTGGATGTGGCACCGATCCTGCAGCCACTGCCCTGCAGAGTGACACCGGGTTCCACCCTGAGCCACATGCAAATGCCCAGAAAGGGACCCTGGCCCTTCACACCATCCACACGCAAAGCCATGACCACGGCCCAAGGGCTGTTCCTCGACGTGAGAAACAACGGAGAACAAGCAGGACAGTGGCCGAGGAGACGTGGTGGAGGCCCTGAGACAGCCCTGCTCAGGCGCCCTTGGGTGGGACGCCGGAGCAACTCGCTCACCGGCTGGTGGAGCCGTTGTAGCAGTAGTTGGGCAGGAAGTCGTAGTTGAGCTCCCAGAAGACGTGGAGGGTGATCCTGCCATAGGGCGCGGACACGTTGTGGTTGGCCTCCCGGAACATGGCGTCAAAGCTGTCCAGCGACAGGTACCTGCTCAGCAGCTGGTGGGTCATGCGGTTGATCTGCAAGAGGCCGTCCAGCTCCTGTGGGGGCACAGGATGGGGTGAGGACACCATGCGCCCGGACACTGGCCTCCACTCCCCACAGATGCAGCACCATCGGGTGGCGGGACAGAGTGGGACACCCCGAGGCAGGGTCAGCAAGCCAGGCCAAGAGAGCACGAGGCAGGGGTGTGCCGGGCAACAGGAGTGGGCTTGTCACACCCAGGTCTTTTCTGCCCTCCCTGCTGCCTTTAAAATGCCCCCTCTTGGCTGGTGTGGCTCAGCTGGTTGCACTGAAAGGCTGCTGGTTTGATTCCTGGTCAGGACACAGGCTGGGCTTGTGGGCTCGATCCCTGGTAGGAGGCAGCTGATTGAGTTTCTCATCTGTGCTTCTCTCTCTCCCTTCCTTTCTCTAAAATCAATGAAAACATATATTTCTTAAATGCCCCTCTGTACCATGGGTGCCTCATTAGAGCCATTGTCTTCTGCACTGCCACCGATGGCCTGCACCCACCCACGGGACACAGGCCACTTGGCCGTGTCCCCCACACCTGGCCGACACAGTGAGTAGACACAGGTGTCAGTCTGAGCTGGCTTTACCTGAGTTATTCAAAGGCATGGCTGTTCGGCAGAGCTGGCAGGGATACACACACACGGCTCGTGACATCTGCCTAGACTGCTCTGTCCACTGAGGCAGCCACATGTGGCAACAAGAACGTGGCTGGTCCAAACTTAGGTGCACTATGGGTGTGAAACCACAAGATTTCAAAATCCGAGTACGAGCCCTACCTGGGTTGCAGGCTCGATCTCTGGCCCTGGTCAGGGCACGTGTGGGGGGCAACCAATCGATGTGTCTCCCTAGCGTCAATGTTTCTCTCTCTCTTTCTTCCACTCTCTCTGAAAAACAATGGAAAAATATCCTCGGGTGAGGATTTAAAAAAAAAATTCCAAGTGTGAGACAAAGGACATAAGATTTTAGAGAGAGGAAGGAACAGAGAAAGAGAGAAACACGGTGAGAGTCATTGATCAGCTGCCTCCTGCATGCCCCCGACTGGGGATCGAATTTGCAACCCAGGCCTGTGCCCTGACCAGGAATTGAACTGTAATATCCTGGATCACAGGTCGATGTTCAACCACTAAGCCACATCAGCCAGGCTTCTTTTTGATTTTTAAAACTTTCCTTTCATTCTTTTGCCATAATTAGGTGTAATTTATTCAAGACTGGGATTATTTATTCTTTGAAGTCAACTTAGAATTGTGAATATTAACAGCAGATGCTAGAAGAAGATACCCAGGAGAGGCCAAGCTTAATTAGTGCAAACCTTCTGACTTCTCTGCAAAACTAAACATATCATTGTTTCAATGTTTCACTAAGGATGAAAGAAAAATTAGCTATAATCCTTGTGATCAGTCTCCACAAATCCACTGAGCCTGAGGGAGGAAGGAGGACTTACAACTATTGATGTCAGGTCTTCACTTTCAAATCGTCCGATTGCCAGTTCCAGGGACTTATACATGGCCACTGAGACACGCTGAGTGATCAGGCGATTGAGGTCTATGGACCTGCCCAGGAGCTGGGCGGGGAGAGGGTGGCAAGAGTAAACAACTAAAACAAGCAAGAATATACATACATAGATATATATATATACACATATATATCCCCCCAGAAACTGATTCCAAAAGAGAAGACAAAGAAATAATGTACAAAATTTAAAAGTGTTAGATTAAATTGTGTGTGTGTATATATGTCTCCTTTCCTGTAGCTAAAATTCTGCGAGTCAAAGCTGTAAAGGACTTGCACAGCATTCTTGACGTTGAATTTACACCTATGTCATTGGCAGAAACCCCAGGCCTCAGTAGAGAACCTGGAGGATTGGGGCCTGTCAGTCAGCACAGTCCTTACAACAGTGTCCAGGACTGTCCCCTCCAGAGTGGCCTGCACATGTCTGACCTCCACAGTGTCACAAGAGAGAATCACTCCATCTCTATCTCAGAGACGTAGCAACATATGTGCACCTCAACATCATTTCAATAACATAAAAATACAAACAAAACCCTGGCGAAAAATGCTCCAAAGTGTGAATGGTGGTTAACTGTAGAGAGTAGAGTGATAGCAAATTTTCCCTATGATTTTCCGTATTTTTCTAACTTTTAAAAATGCAAAAAAAAGAAACGGTGCATTTTTACTCTTTGTGCTGGCCAAGAGAAAGCTCCTGTCTGACATTTCCTAGCTGACAAGCATTTCTCATTTCTCAGAGCTTCTTCTTAAGCTCTGGGTTTTGGGCTCCTAGAAAGAAGCCAAGGCCTCTGGTCCCGTCCCTGCCCTGGAAGCCCACGCAGGGCAGGGCACACAGCACTGCAAGTCTTCCCTTGTGTTCCAGGTTATCCAACAGAAACTGTTTTGTATTTAACATCTTACTATTTTATAAGGATGTTCCCACAGTCACATAACATACTGACATCTACTAAAATCCAGTGAACTCTAAGAAAACCCCACTATTTCAAATGTCAGTCCAGGTGTGCCCTGCCTGGGAAAGGCGCTCACCTGCACGTGCCTCTGTTTCAGCAGCGTCTCGTAGCGGTTAGATGGAGGGAGGTGGATCGTTGCCCCCTGATTCTTGCATTCAGATCGTAATCGTTTATCAAGAAGCAAACTAGAACAGAAAGGAGGGAGAACATTTCTCACTTGCTCTAAATTTCAATGCAAATACAGATCTAGTTACCCAAGGTTTCATACCCAAACCACAAACCACATGCTCACCTTCCGGCCATAACCTTATAATATGCAAAGATCTGGTCTGCCAACTTGTAAACAAATTGGTCAAAGCACAGATTCACCTGAAGAAAAATAAAGCAGAGGTTACATTTTGATTCCCTAAATAGAGATCAAATAACACAGGTAAAAAACAAATCTTTGGCCCGGCCGGCGTCTCGGCAGTTGCGCGTCCACCAGGATCCGGGAGACGGCTCCTCTAACACTCAGAGAGGCAGCGCGGGAACCGTTTCAGGTGCCAGCTCACCTCCGCCTCGATCTCGTCGTAGAGGAACTGCTTGCTGAACCTGGTGAGGGCGTAGTGGGCGCTGTCGTTGTACAGGTCCAGGGAGTAGAGGACATACCTGCGGAGGGCGGGCGTCAGCCAGCCTCACACACGAGCTTCCCCGGACCCAGGGCCACCACCGCCCCCCTCCCGTGAGGAGAATCAACCCCTGCAAATGCCAGATGGCTCCTGCGAGGCCCTGATGGCAAAGTGCCGGCAGCCGACCCGAGGCCGCCGGCCGGACACACCCAGGGGCACGGCCCCACACCTGCCCCTTCTCACTCACCCTCTTCCAAAGGTTTTTACCCCAGGATGTAGTACTTTTTTATAACCACAAAAACGAGGACTTTTCTTATTTTTAAAAGGTACTATTTTTGCCCAACTGGAGCGGCTCAGTTGGTTGGGAGTCATTCTGTGCACCTGGGTCACCGGTGCCCTCCCCGGTCAGGGCACGTGCCCGCGTTGCCGGCTCGATCCCCAGTAGGGGGCGTGCAGGAGGCAGCCCATCACGGACTCTCTCATCCGTGTTTCTATCTCTCTCCCTCCCTCTTCCTTCCTCTCTCTGAAATCAACAAAAACATATTTTAAAAAAATTAATAAATAAAAATAAAATGGAAAAATATCCTCGGGTGAAGATTAACCAAAAAAGCCTGTAGCCTCACTCCAAAAATCATGACGTCGAATGAAGCGCCGAGATCAGTGCGCCCCCCCAGCACAGAGCCAGCCTCCCCGGGTGCTCACTCCATCATGGACGCCTCCTTGGTCTCCAGGATGTGGTCGGTGAGGATCCAGGGCATGGACATCTCGATGGGGAACTGGATCCGCCGGCCCATGGTGAGCTCCAGGAAGAACTCGCGGAACCACAGCTGTGAGAGGTCGCAGCACTGCTGCAGGGTCTCTGGGGCGCAGACGGCAGCGGGTTAGTCGGGCAGGGGGGACAGGCTCGCAGAGGGACAGACGGGACAAGGGCCGCGGCCAGGAGCCGCTCCTTCGCAATCAGCCCTGAGCCATGCAGGAGTGGACGTGGGCAGACATGACGGGGTATGTGGCGCCTAACACTGGGGCAGGACACCCGGGCATGGCCGAGCGGAGCCACCCTGGACCCTGTGCATCCGGCCCAGGAAAAGGGCAGTGTCCGGCTGCCATGGGCCTGGGAGATAAAAAAATCTCCTCATAAAAGGAGAAATAAGGCCAGGATGACTTGATTTTACTTGGGATCAAGACGCAGCATTTCGTGCATACTCAGCGTGGGTCTAGCTAACAAAAAGTCTTTTTTAAGAAAAAAACAAAAAAAACTTCCACCACGATAGAGTGAAAAACAAAAAGCTTACTATTTACTGCAAACCTGCAGCATGCCAGCCAAGATAGGGGCCTCCCGCTCTGAGCACGGGGCCGTGACACGGGCCAAACGTGGACAAGGCCACAATGATGAAGGACATCCTCCTGGCGCCCCGGAACAGATGACCTGCGTCACCCCCGGAGGGGCTGCCAGGTCGCCTCCCGAGGGGTCTGCTCCTGTTGTCTGTCACTGTCTTGGTCTCGAGCCAGGTGACAGATGACATTCGCCTATTTTTCAGACCCCATGTGGCTACAAGGACTTTACGGTGAGGTTGAAGGGCTGGCTACGGCCCCACGGCCCTCGCCCTCCTAAAGGCCACACCCCACAGCGGAGCCTTCGGCAGGCCACGTGTCTACAGCGCCAGGCGAGGGGATGCCACGAGGTTACAGCACACGTCACCACGTGGGTGTGTGAGGGGACCAGGCGGGGGCGGTCAGGCAGGCGAAGCAGTGTGGACGGTGTTAGCGGTGTTAGAACATGCCGGCCGGAGGCTGGTCAGTAGTCTCTCTTACCACTGAAATTTATCAAGTGAGTGTAGAAGAACGACTCGCGATGAAATTTTTCTATGTCCAATATGGTGGGCCCCTCAAGGCTACTTCTCAAGGTTTTCTTGGAACCACTTTTGTCTGCAATGAGGGACTCTAGCATGGTTCTCACCATGTAAAGCTGCGTCGACCAAGGAAACATTGGCGGGGGAGAAAATACACATGGTATATTAGTTGCACTGACTCTGATGGGCCACAGGACGGCTCCGTGATGCCCTGACCGAGGCCGGGGCCCCTCTGGCTCCTCTAAGGGGGTCTGGGCGCCCACCTAAGGGGCCACGTGGCTGCTGCCCGGCGAGAGGACCCGCAGCTGAGCGACGCACCTCTGCACAGTGAACATCAACAAGATAAACAAACGGAGTCTTACCACCAAAGGTTAAAAGAGGCGGATAGGTGTAGGACTGCCTCAGAAACGCGTTAACCACATGCAACAGCCTTTCCATGCCCAGAGACCGGAGCTGCCGCAGCAGCTCAGCAGAGCTCAAGGACTCCGCCATGGTGCGCACCAGGTACAGCTAGACACGGACAGACACGGGAGAGCGGGAGAGAGCGTTAGTCGCACGACACAGAGTGGGGGCGCACACGGGACGGGGGCATGCACCGCGGCAGGCCCGGGAGGGCCTTCCTCCCAGATCCCGCGTCCCAGTCACAGCCAGCAGCCCGCTTTGCCGGTGATTCTCTGAGCGACTGGCAGAAGAGACGACAGAAGCCCCGACAGAGAGGTGACGAGAGAGGGGCCGGGGCCCCACATGGGAGGAGCGAAGCAGAGGGCGTGGGCAGGTGTGAGTCAGAGGACAGTGCTTGGCGGGGACCAGAGCCGGGGAAACAGGACAGCGGTGGCAACTTCAGTCCAGGGACACACGAAAGCTACGTTTTTAAATTTCTACAAGTTTTATCTTCAGGACTGATACTTCGCAGCCCAATGTACAAATCACAACCACGCAGCAAATCCACGCCCAGGAGCGCAGCGTGAAAGCAGACACGGACCCCACCCACGTCTGGGACAGAGTCGGGCAGTCAGATAAGTGCTGCACGCGAATGAGCGACCCAACCGTCCCAGGGTGTCCCGGCCAGCGTGCCGGGGACAGAGGGGCAGGAGGACACAGGCAAGACCTGACGCGCCCGAGCAGACAGTGGTGACGTCCTTTAACTCCCAGCCTCACTTCCTGACCCAGCCCCGCCCCCGCCCGCCCTCGGGGTGACCCACTTGGGGGCAGGCAGAGGCGGGGCAGGGGGACAAAGACCTGCGTGCTGGAGGGCCCCACGGCACGGCGAGGCACTTTAATGTCGAAGCCGCTTTTGGGGTCCTTCTCGCCCCGCAGGGCCGGGTCGTTGAAGGGTTCATGCCCCGTCTCCCAATCACACACGGTCTTCCTGATGGCCTGTAGGACGCTGAACAGAGGGCACCGGCGCTGACGCCACGGGGGCGACAGTCACAGCATCTCCTCACCGGACCCCCAGCCCTCAACAGCAGCTCTCAGACGGGAACTCCTCTGGGGGGGGACGAGGTGGTGGACCCGTTCAACCGGATATTTTAAAAACAGATTGGTCTCTGCCCAGCCGGCATGGCTGAGGGTCGTCCTGGGCACCAAAAGGTCACCGGTTCGATTCCAGATCAGGGCACATGCCCGGGTGGTGGGCTCGATCCCCAGTAGGGGTGTGCAAGGGGCAGCCGATCGATGGTTCTCTCTCCCCCTCACCAATAAAAAAAGACGCTGACTCCACGGCTGTCTAACCCTAAGGACACCCGGCTGCGGACGCCGCGCGGGGGCTGACCTCTGGATGACGTTCTTCTTCTTCCGGATGGCCTGCCGCAGCGGCTCCCGCAGCGTGACCTGGGAGAAGTCCTGCAGGGCGGCGTAGACGGTGTGCCGGATGGCGTGGTTGAACACGCTCTCCATCCGGCCCATGAGCACCTGCAGGCCTTTGATCATGGCGATCACCTGCGGGGGACACACGACTTGCTGGGGGGCGGCAGGAGGGGACGCGCGCCCGGGAGGCCACCACGCCCTGGGGTCCTGTGCTCCGGCTCGGATGTGTTTCATGAATATGTGTTGCTTTTTTAAATAGAAGAAAAATGTCTATTTTTTAAAAAGCAAGTTCTGCCCTGGCTGGTGCGGCTCAGTGGGTGGGAGCATCATCTCATGCACCGAAAGGTCGCAGGTTCGACTCCCAGTCAGGGCACATGTGGGAGGCAACCAGTCAGAGCTTCTCTCCCTCTCTCTCCCTTCCTCCCTCTCAAATCAGTAAGAACACACCTTCGGTTGAGGCTAAAGAAAAGCAAACTCTCCCAAACTCAAGGTGAATTCAAATTTTACACCAATGTGAACGAAACAAAAATTCTACATGTGAGAACTTATGGGATGTAGAGAAAGGTCTGCTGAAAGGTAAATTCTGAGCTTCAGGCACATACTTTAAACACACAAAAAACTGAAGATAATAGTAATCTAACATTCATCACAAATTTATAAAAAGAAAAATGAAATAAACCTCCCAGATGTAGAGGGAAATAGGCATGTGAAAGGCACAAATTAATGAAGCAGAAAGCGAGCAGGTAGGGTGTGATCACCCAGCACAAAGCTGCTTTAAAACAAGATATAATACAATATAGCTGCCCAGCCCGCGTGACTCAGTGGTTGAGCGTCCCACCCACCGAGAGGTAGAGCTCGATTCCTGGTCAGGGCACACGCCCGGGTTTCGGGTTCGATCCCCAGTCGGGGCGTGCAAGAGGCAGCCGATCGATGACGCTCTCTCATCATTGATGTTTCTCTCTCTCTCCCTCCCTTCCTCTCTCTGAAATCAATGAAAACATTTAAAGAAGAAAAAAGATTCTAAAACGTATATGAAAGTACAAAGGGAAAGAACATCCAAGGGCTCTTACAGACAGAAAGACCTGCGTTCCTAGGTGCAGAATCCAGTCACTGAGACGGGGACGTGAGGACAAAGAGACCCGCCGCCCCGCCCGAGAGCTAGAAAGTGAGCAGAGACCCGCCAACCAGGCACAATCCGGGACCCGCAGCCAGACGGCCGGGGGGGATCTCGGATCTGAAGGTGAGGACAGAACGATTAAAAACGTCCAGACACAAGTACGAGAAAGCCTCTGTGACCTGAGAGTGCGCAAAGACTTCCTAGGCGAGGAAGGAAGCGCCGCCACGAGAGGCAGGAAACTGGCACTGACGTGAACCACTTGTTCATGAGATGCCTGAGGCCAGGGCCCACCGCGGGCGCAGGGCAGAGCTGCGGACCAGCAGCCCCCTGGAGGCAGAGGGAGGGGACTCCTGGCTCTCGGGCGCCAGGCTTGCTTCCCGTCCCGCGTCCTGGCTCACAGGCCGCCCTGCCCCAGGGAGCTGTCCGCAGAGACCAGTGCCCGCGCCTGCTTTATTCTGTCCTGGTGACCGTGACAGCTGCAATGGCCGCCCACTCAGAAGCAATGACACAAACAGGCAGTTTCTTCGTGGGTCTGACTCTGCTTTGAGAGGGGGGACGACGCGAGGCCCGAGCGGAGGGGGGAGGCTGCAGGCCGCCTCACCTCCACCAGGGCGAACTTCTCCTCGCTGGTGTAGTTGTAGCGGGTGGCCCGCTCGTACTCCTCCGCGTTGTCGGGACAGTCCTTGTTGGAGTACTTGTCCGTGGGGTGCACGAGTTTCCACGAGTACTGGTGTGGTCAGAAAGATGGGAGGTAAACACTGCTGCGGATGCTCAACTGCTGGCCTTACGGGAGGCGGGCAGACAGAGGCGGGCAGAGGAACGATCGGCCAGGGGCCGAGGGTCACCAGGGCGCAAAGCCCCCGGTGCCCAGCAAGGGGCAAAACTGGGAAAACAAAGACCTCGCCCCAGGGTGGCCTTCCCTCCCCTATCATATTGCCGATCGTGCAGTTTAGCCCCTGACCTTTCATGTCACTGGTCAGGCGGGCGGTTCGGACCCTCCCGACCTTTACTCCCCTGGAGTGTTGCTAGTCATGCTGGTTAGATTAGAGCAGGGGTGGGAAACCGTTTTCTGCCAAGGGCCACTTGGATATTTATAACATCCTTCGAGGGCCATACAAAATTCTCAACTTAAAAATTAGCTATGAAAAAATCTAGATTCTTTGAATTTCGAGTCACGGCCATATAGGGCCCGCAGGCTGGAGGTTCCCCACCCCGGATTAGAGGAACAAGGGGGCCTCATAGGACTCCCATACAAGCCCTCGCAGGGCCACGCCCTCAAGCATTAGGCCCTACAGATAACATCCGGGGCTCAGCTGTTTCAGCTCCAGGCCCACAAAAGCAAGACCAGGGCTGTAGACATTAGGACCCGAGGCAGTGACTAATGACCCTGCGCTGGCACCAACCACTCAGTGGAAACCAGGACACTGAAAGGACACAGAAGAAAAGCTAATGAATATTCTATTGAGATTCTCCCAAGACATCCCCTAAAGTCCCCGCCTTTGGAAACCAGATAAAACCCCTAGAGGTGATGGACTCAGTGCGAGTGTGCTCCCTGTTCCTCTCCCTCTCTCTCCCTCTAAACAAGTAAATAAATCTTTTTAAAAATCATCATAACAGTACAAATTAAGGTCTATCAACATGTTTTAACAGATAACTATTTGGAACACACACAAATGTATGTTGAGTTGTTTTCAATTTAAATTAATATACAGCCTTATTCCTAGGGCCCCAAATAAAAAGCCAATTTGTTCTTGATCCAAGAACCAAAGTTAATGCAGAAACAGTGTCACTTAGTCAATCTCTTGATGACTTTGAATAGAAAACCCCTGTGGGCCACTGGGGGTGGGGAGGGGAAGGCGCTCTCTTAGTCCCCGCACTTCCACCCCGCGGGAGCCCTGCGCCTACCACTTCCATCACGTGCGCACTCCACTGCGACAGCAGCTGCAGGCCCTGCAGCGCCAGGTCGAAGAGCTTCCGGTACTCGGCGTCTGTCTTCTGAGCCTCCTGGCGGCCCGAGCCTGTGACAACCTAGAGCACCACAGGAGCAAGGAGGAGTCACCCGCGTCCATAAAATCCAGCCCTGTGCTCACCCCCTGACCCATCACACCCAGTCTCGGAAGCCACCCCAAGGGCACTGTCACAAAACTGTGAAACGATGGCAGCAAAGGGCTGGAAACCAGGGCCCATGACAATGACGGGCACCTGTCAAAGCCAAGATGTCACAGCCTGATGCCTCAGGGTGACAGCTCCTGCTGCATGTCTGCTGATTACCTAGAGATTCTGCTGGAGCCCTGTCCCGGGAAGAGGCGGAAATACACACAAAGGGAAGACTCCAGAACTGGGCTCGGGTCACTGGGGGTGACCAGGAACAGAGGGACGGAGAAACGTCCCACTTTTCCTTGGACCCCTCTTCATCGCCTGGCTGCCTAGCCCCACCTCTCCCTCACCCACCCTCCCCTTCCTGGCATGGAAGACGCGTCAATTCCGAGCTCCCTTGAGACAGGTTTGAGAACCAGATCTCCCACCTTCTTGACCAATAAACCTTTCCCTGCTCCAAACTCTGATTCAGTGAATATCAGCCTTTCTTTAGAAGCAGAGGGCACAGACGTGGCAGATGGAGCTGTCAGACGCACTTATTTGGAGGGGACAGCTCAGCGGTGCCTGCTGTTTGAGTGTCCCGTGAAGTCTCGGGGGGCTGCCCCACCCCTACCCTGCAGGTTGTTCTGGCAACTGGAGAAGGGGCGAGGCAGCACCCCCTCTCTGGGGAGTCGGCCTCCCACCAGGGGTGTGCCCAGAGGTGGCACGTGCCCAAGGCATTCGAGGGTCCGTCAGTCATTTCGGTTACATGGTGACTAGTGCCTGGTGGGTAGGGACAGGGGCGCTCATCTTCCCGCCATGGGGTAGGGCCACCTCGGAGCTGTGACTCCAACGTCAATGGTCCTTCTGAGAACCCCAAGGTACCAGTGTCAAAAATCAGGCTTGTCCTTCGGTCCCTCCCAACAATTCGCAGCCCCCACGCCACTGACCTTACTGCCTTGCCCACCAAGATGTGATTAGTGTCACCCCCAGGGCTACTCCACGCCAGCCCCGCTCCTGCACACCCCACAGGCTTGGAGCCACAGTCAGCAGGTGGGGGGCCATGACCAGGCCCCGGTCTGGGCACCAGGACGTCCTCCCGCCGACCCAGAGGCTCCCGCACGCGTCTGGCCTCCGGAGGTCCTCCTCTCTCCACCCCTTCCAGCCGCTTGGAGACGGGGGACTAGACTGGGAACCGCCACTTCACTGCCCCTTTCTTCGGGATCCCTATTATGTTTTTCTGAAAAAAGACGCTTTCTGCACAGCCCCGTGGGCGATTACGGGGCCCTCTGAAGAATCTGGTCCCATCGTGCCTCTCAAAGCGGCCGCGCGGGGCGCACACTGACCTCGCTGTTGCTGTAGCGCGCCAGCTCCGAGATGAAGCGCATGTGGTCCTCGCGGATCTGGATCATCTGCTCGCAGATGTTGTACTGGGGGCTGCTGCTGGAAGACGTGCAGGTCCACCTGGCGGGGAGGCGCGTGTCACCGGGAGGGGCGCCCGCACAGGCTGGGGGCCGAGGGCAGGCGGCACAGCCGCCCACTGTCCCCGGGCCCCGCGCGCTGGGAGGAGATGGGGGCTCAGGGAGGACACGGCCGGCCCGGCCACGCCGTGTCCGGGCTCTGTCCACCCTTCGCATTCTGTTTTGGAAAAGTCAGTGTGCTTTCTCCGTAACGAGGGTGTACAGTGCAGCCCAGGGTACAGTCAATCAAACTGGTGACTGTGCACAGGGCCAGGTGGGTGCCGGAAATGTCGGGGGTCACCTACAGGGTATGACCGTCTAACCACCATGCTGTGCACCTGAAACTAATGCAAAATAACACTGAATGTAAACTGCAATTGAAAAATAAAATTAACAAGCCCGGCCGGCGTGGCTCAGCAGTTGAGCATCAACCTAGGATCCAGGAGATCGGGGTTCGATGCCCGGTCAGGGCACATGCCCAGGTTGCGGGCTCGATCCCCAGTGAGGGGCGTGCAGGAGGCAGCCGATCCATGACTCTCTCATCATTGATGTTTCTATCCACTGGGGCTGGCTCAGAGCCGACTGCGACAGGCTCAGGCACCTCCCAAGGGCGCATTAGACATGCCCATTACTACCCATTAAATGCTAGCAACTTGCAATAAACCACATTAAAAACAAAAGTAAGCACACACAAGTCATCGTCTCCTGCTTCTTACTGGTTTTCCCATGACCTCTGATCCAGAGCCCACTGGCATGTGTTGGGGTAACAGCAGCTTCGAGTCACCACATGGGGGCCTTGAACTCTTGCAGGCGGGGATGTGATCCCACAGACACCAGCTCATGCTCCAAACCAGAACCCGGGCCGGCGTTAAAGCCCAAAGCGGTTTTGGTTTCCTCAGTGCCCCTCGGAGGAAAGCAAGGAGCCATCCAACTGAGGCCCCTAGTGGACTGAGGGGCAGGTTTACTGGGAAATGAGTGAGCGCAGAGTTCGGCAAACAGGCCAAATGCGTCCGGAGTTCGTAGGGCCCGAAAGCCATACAGAACGGTCTTTGCATTTTTAAAGGTTGTTGTAGAAAACACAGAATATGAGGCAGAGACTATGTTTGCAGAAAGAGTCCAGCAGTGCTGAGCACACAGACTCAGATGTGACTGAGTTTTTCCAATTTGTGGTTGAACGGCAAAGACCGGTTGGCATGGGTTCAAGCATCTGGGAAAAGTCAACAATGGGCCCTGGCCGGGCAGGGCAGTGGGTTAGAGTGTCGTCCCGATGCACCAAGGGTTCAGATTCGATGCCGGGTCAGGACACATACAAGCAGCAACCACTGATGCATCAGTAAGTGGAACAACACACTTACGTCTCCCTCTCTCTCCCTCTCTCTAAAACCAATCAATAAAAGTAAATAGCCATGAACTGTTATTTGAAATGTGGCTGTTCTAAAGGAAATAAGTGACATTTTGGAGGAATTTAAAGGTAAACAGCCACACACGGCAAGGGCTACGGTGCCAGGCATTCCCTTCCAGATGGCTGAAAACGTCAAGGCGGCCTCACTAGGTAAGTAAGTAGTGTCACAAAACCCCAGTGGGGCCCTGGCTGGCGTGGCTCAGGTGGCCGAGCATCATCCCAGGCACCAAAAGGGCACCAGTTCAGTTCCCGGTCAGGGCACATGCCCAGGCTGCGGGTTAGAGCCCGGGTCGGGGCACATGCCCAGGCTGCGGGTTAGAGCCCGGGTCGGGGCACTCACAGGAGGCAGCCCGTAGATGTTTCTTTCCCACATCAATGTTTCTCTCCCTCTCCCTCTGCCCCCTTCCTCTCTCTCAAAAATTCCCACCAAAACCAACAACGGGAATATCACAGAACAGTCTCGCTGGGCAGCGCGCTCTCCTACCGAGATTTATTTTCCTCATAGTGGGCGCTGGTCTTGATGTATCTCGCCAGTTCTATCTGCATGTCCCCGAACAGCGGCACCACCTGGAGCTGCTGTATTCAAAAAACAAAAAACAACAATAAAAGGGTCATTATGTATGTTTAGTGACCAAATGCGTAATCACAAGAACGGATGAAGCTAATAATTATTGTGGGTTGAAAGCTCTCTGCAAATCATTTAGTGCAAAAAGTGGTCAGCAACTTCCACACTCACTTCAAAACCACAGAACAGGAACCAGCACTCATAAACCATTTCGAATGTTAAAATTAATCCAACCTGGGCTAGATCCATGGTCATAAAAAATTCAACTGCATTTCTGGATACTAGCAACAATTAGAAAATGAAAACTTAAAGAGACAGTGTGCAAAAGCATCAAAAAATTAAAAATATGTATGAATACATTGAACAAAATAAATACCACCCAAAATTCTGGAGAACAGTTTAAAGTTTTAAGTGAATGGAGAAATAAATATTGGGTGTCCCCCCAAAAGGAGTACACATTTTAACAGCTGATAACTCACTTAATTTTCACTCCTTTTCAGGTTTAACTGATTTGAAATAATGGGTGAAGCCAGACTAACCTTTGACCAGAGAAAATTTACCCTAAAGTGCCCCTAGGCTTTCTTATGGGGATGCAGCAACAGTCGATGAATCTAGGGCACACAAATACTGCATGAAATGATTCCTGATGTTTGCAATTCCATTGCTTCGCGTTATCAGCAGGGCCTGGACCAGAGCGGTCATCCGTTTGAAAATAGGCGTTAAAAAAATTATTCATTTCTGTAGATTCTTTTAAATTTTGAAAATGAGCTGTGCGCTAATAAACACTGACTTCATAATCATTCAAAGTGTGTACATTTTTGGGGGACACCCTGTATATCAGGTTCACGTATTGGAAGACTTGGTTTTTAAAAAGTCCATTCACCCTAAATTGATCTACGCATGCAATGGAGCCCAAACAATATTCCAGGAGGAAAGTGCTTTACGAGCAGTGTGCACGTGAGAAAATCGCAAGCCAGTTCTAAGATGCATTTGAAAGGCCAAGGGCGATACGCACGACAGTCTTGAAGAGCACACTGCAGGCTTCCTGGTGAGCAGCCCTACTCTACTGGGAGGCCACAGCCACTAGGACAGTGGGCCTTGAGCAGGACGGAGACCAGTGGGGCAGGACAGAGAACCTAAGACAGAGCCACAGACAGACAGACACCTGGTTTATGACCCACGTAACACGCGAACAGTGCGGAAAAAGATGGTCTCTGCAATGAAAGCACAGGGCAACTAGCCAACCATAATGGAGACAGAAATCCAAGAACATCAACCCCTAGGTCCTGGTGCTGGCTCAGTGGGTTGGGAGTTATCCTGGGCACCAAAAGGTCACGGTTCGATTCCCGGGCACAGCGCGTGCCTGGGTTGCAGGCTCGATTCCCAGTAGGGGGCGTGCAGGAGGCAGCTCGATCAATGCTTCTCTGTCACATCGATGTGTCTCTTTCCCCCTCTCCCTCTCTAAAATCAATAAAAACATATTTTTAAAAAGAAAAGAATGTCAACTCCTACCTCACACCAGAGGGACTCGTTCCAGGGGAAACCACAGATCTAGACGGAAACGGAGCGGGGATGCATCTAGAGGCTACACAGAAGGAAACCTCATGAGCCCGCTGTGTACAAAAACGTCCTCAAGTGGACATTAAAGATGGACAAATTGGCCCTGGCCGGTGTGGCTCAGTGGTTGGAGCGTCGGCCCACACACCAAAGGGTAGAGGGTTCGATTCCTGGTCAAGGGCACATATCTGCGTTGCTGGGTTGATCCCTGGTGGCCCAGTTGGGGCATGTTGAGGAGGCAACCAATTGATGTGTCTCTCTCACATCGATGTTTCTCTCTCCCTCTCCCCCTCCCTTCCACTCTCCCTAATAAGTCAATGGAAAAAAATATATATTTTTTTGTTCAAATGAAGTGTTTTTATTTTTCTCATAATTTAAAAAATGTGAACATTCTGTATTTCAGCCACAGCCTTTACTTCCAGGTGACTTCTTCACTAGGTCTCAATTCCCTTTTAAATACCAAACTCTTGTTCCGGAAGCCAGTTAGCTTTCCATCCTTCCTTCTGTCCAGGTCACATCCAATGACAAATCCCACAGGGACAAGTACATGTACCCAGTGGCCACACACAAGCTGAATTAAATTCATCCTGAATGCTGCGGTCCCAGTGCCGGCCACGACCCCGCGACCAAGGGCAGAGGCGAGTCCAGCCTTGAAAAAATATATTCTTGGGTGATGATTAACCACCACCAAAAAGATGGACATACTGAACTACAATAAAATTAACAACCTCTATTTGTCAAATGACACCTTCAAGAAAGTGAAAGGAGAGCCACGTAGGGGATGCCTGCATTTTAGGGCACGTGTATCCAACTAAGGCCACGTATCTAGGACACATGAGGAGGCACAAATCAGCAGGGGGAAAGAACAGGAAATGTCAAGGGACACTTCATGAAGAACACACAGAGCTAGAGCATGAAGTCACCAGGGAAACATCCACTCAACCACAGGAAACGCTGGTCGAAAAAATCACGACACACCCGCCCTTCAGGATGCCAATCCCCACCCCCGCCCCACCCCAAAAGTGACAGTGTGAAGTGTTGGCGAGGGTGTGAAACGAGGGGAACGCCCACTCACTGCTGGCGGGGACGCAAAGCAGCACAGCCCCACGGGCAATCGCTAGCCTGTGTCTACTAACACCGAAAACGTTTCTGCCCGTGACCCCCAATCCCATCCCTGGGTACACGTCCAACAGAAATGTGCAGACAGGCCCTAAATCAGAGCCAGAACCCGAAACAACCTCACGCCCATCACAACAGGACGGACAAATAAGCTGTGGTGTGACCTGCAAAAGGCCTGCGACACCACAGTGACACCGAGGGACTCCGGCTGCCGGCTCCCCCGGGGACACACCTAACCGTGAGTGAGTGGCAGACAGACCCCCAGTGGAGGGGGAGGAGGGAGCGGGCGCATGGCCGCCCCGTGTCCCAGGATGGACCACGGTCACAGGCTGACCACCCCGAATTCAAACTGGACACACGTCAACAGAAATGTCACTCACCTTGAAGAACTTGTCGATTTTGGACAAGTTAATTCTCTTCTTGGCGTCTAGTTTATAGATGTTGCTGACACTCCCATCCATCAGGTACAGACCAAATCCCATGACCTGAAAAGGCACCAAATGGCACAGAAAACTCAGACCCACGGGGTTCATTACTGTGTGTGTCATTTCTCTAGGGGTTCCGACATCCTCGCCGGGCACGGTGACCGCCTTGCCCCTTAGCAAACCCCGTCACAGAGCGCAGCGCAGGACAGCGGCCGCCACCGACCCGCCACCGTGCTCCCCAGCGGGGACAGGGCACGGCTCTCGCAGGGAGGGCTTTGGCTGCTGGGACACCGCACAGGTCCCGGGGGCTGCCTCTGCTCAGGGCGATCAGGTGCAGGGACGCAGGACCACCGTCTCCTCCCGATGAGGACGTCCCTGACAACCTTCCCAACGTGAAACAGAATAAATCTGAGAATACGGTGAATGGCCACGTTTCCTGACCAATGAGTCGACTTTAATCGCGGTGACACAGTCCACAGAGGCTCCTCCACTTACAATGCGGTTGTCGTGATAAACGCATCATAAATTGAAAGTCAAAACTGTATTTGTCCTGCCCGGTGTGGTCAGTGGTTAGAGCGCTGGCCTTGGCACTGAAGGGTCTGGGGTTGGATTCCCGGTCAAGGGCACGTACCTGGGTGAGGGAGGCACCCAATGGCTGTGTCTCACATTGATGTTTCTCTCCCCCCGGCCTCCCTCCCTTCCCCTCTCTCTAAAAATCAATGGAAAAAATATCCTCAGATGAGGGAAAAAAGGCATTTAATACAAGTAACCGACCGGACGTCACAGCGTAGCCTGGCCGACCTTAACCGTGTTCTGGACACTTACATGAGCCCACACGTGGGCAAAGTCACCACCTCGCTGCCACTCTCCGGAATTACAAGAGCATCGTACCACTTATCACCAGCCCAGGGGAAAAAATCAAAATTCAAAAATCAAAGGTATGGTTTCTACTGAACATGGATCACTTTAGCACCAAGCGGAAAAAATCCTGCCGGACCATCTGTAATTAATTCCTAGGAACGCCATCCTTAATGAGTACAATCTGGAATGAGCCCTGCTGCTAGAGGCTCCATGCTGAGCAAGGTCCTTGCCCCAGAGCTTGTCGCCCACGCACACCTGCTCTGGGGCTAGGGGTGTGGCCACCTGACAGTGGGTCCAGCCCCGGACACGCCCACAGGACACATGGAGAGCCTGTAGTGCAGGCGGCAGAACACACACGCACACGCACGCACACACGNACGCCATCCTTAATGAGTACAATCTGGAATGAGCCCTGCTGCTAGAGGCTCCATGCTGAGCAAGGTCCTTGCCCCAGAGCTTGTCGCCCACGCACACCTGCTCTGGGGCTAGGGGTGTGGCCACCTGACAGTGGGTCCAGCCCCGGACACGCCCACAGGACACATGGAGAGCCTGTAGTGCAGGCGGCAGAACACACACGCACACGCACGCGCGCACACACGCACGCACACACGCACACACCCACAGGTGTAAGAGGCTGGCAAAAGACAGCAGACAAAGCGCAGCCTATTAGCGGAGCCAGGCTGCCCCTCTCCCGGGGCCCCCGCTGGGCCGCCCGCAGTCGCCCACCCACGTACCTTGAGCAGCATGTGCTTCTCGCTGGGCGTCAAGTACATCCTGTTCTCGTAGTAATCCACGCAGAGGTTCACGATGTCCGCGAGGAGCTCCTCATAGCCGGAGATCACTTCAAGCTGCTGCTGCAGAGACTGAGAGGGGGAGACTCGTGCCACAGGCTGCTCCAGGTCCTCTGGGCCCGCCCCACGGCCACGCACCCCTCGGCCAGAGGGCAGGCGCCTTACCTGTGTGATCTTGTTGTGGTTGGCCAGGAACATGGACAGGTTCTGCGACTCCTGGATGGACTGCGGGTCTGCCATTTTCCGTAAAAACTGAGCAGCCCTTTGAAAGCAAGAAAAAACACACAAACAAACAAAAAAAACAGTTAACCAACCAATGCTTCATTTTAAAAAGCCCTGGCCAGTGTTGCTCAGTGGTTAGAGACTCGGCCCACACACTGAAGGGTCATGGGGTCGATTCCTGGCCCAGGGCATGTACCTGGGTCGTGGGCTCGATCCTCAGCACCAGTCGGGCTGTGTGCGGGAAGCAACCAATTGATGTGTCTCTCTCCTATCAATGTTTCTCTCCCCCCGACTCTCTCTAAAAATCAATGGAAAAAATATCCTGAGGTGAAGATTAACCAAAAAAAAAAAAAGGCTAGGAAAATCAAGATTGCTCTTCTGTGGCTACAGTTATCTGAACACATGTGGGTCTTAGCAGTTGGTTATGGCTTCAGCCTCCTCAAGCTTCTCCTCCTGGGCCCCAACCGGGTCAGCTCACAGCCCCATGGTCCAGGGCTGACGGACTTCCTCAGAGGTGGCAGTGACACCTGCAGGCCTTCCTGATGGGCCCGAAACACTGGCCTCTCCCAGGGCTACCTGTCCCCAAGCCTGAGAGAGGCCACCTCCTGGTTACTCCCGGAGCAGGTGATGAAGACGGCCGGTACCGGGCCACCACACCTCCCACCAGTCAGGGACCATGCATGGCTCTGGTGCCAAAGATCTGAGACAGAACCAAGGTTCTACTACCAACATGCAGCTCCATTTTGGACCCATCTCCGGATCTCTCCCCAACCTCCCTACGATCTGTGACAAACGACCCACCCACAGGGCTGATGGGAGAAGACAGGAAATGGCACACACAGAACAACTTGTGCACTGAGGTCCAACGACACTGTGAGGACCGTGTTGAGTCTCTGAGGTCTTGACAAACTGCCTACATAAGGTCATGTTTGTGCAACCTAGAACCTTGGGGGTCTCACAAAAGAAAAACTCCCAGGTCAAAGACTGATAACCTACCCCCAGCAGTCATCTCCTCCTCTGTCTCTTTGGAAATAAACTCTAATTTCCATGCAGCAGCAACATGCCTCATCTCCACATGATCAACAGCTGACCCACGAGATATAAAGGAAACTTTTGCAAGGCACTTGAAAGTTTACTTATGAGGGATGGCTTGAGCCTTTCTAGTCTCCTTCGTCCCTGGTGACTGGAATGCAGAAATGATGGCTGGAGCTCAGGCAACCGTTTTGGACCATGAGGCAACACCTGAAGGCAGCAGAGCAGCAGGGCAGCAGGAGCCCTGGGTGCTGAACACTGTGGAACCCCAGCGTCAGCTGCAGACCACCTACCTCAGGGCTTTTCAGGTCAGAGAGAACCTGAAATCTTATTTAACCTACTATTATTTCTGTAGGTTTTTAAAAACTATATACAGTTAAACCTCCTATTAACTGATATGGTAACATCCCTTTTTAAACTGTTCACTTTATTGATTTGAGTGGTTGCTGAGACTAAGGGATCAGATACTGTTTTCTGTTTTCCTCAGGCCTTGGATAACCATATGGGTGATCTTGGCATTTACACTCAGAAGAGATTGTACTGGTAGCTACCAGCTGGATGCAAATAGAAAGTGTGAGTGTGGGTGTGTGAGGGCTGGGGAGGAGGGAGGTTACTGCTTGTGAAAGTGAACCAACAGGGAGCCCCAAACAGAGGTCACAGGAAAGGGCTGCTAGAAAGGAGGAGGGGCTGCTGGAGGGGTGGTGAAAACCCCGGAGGGAGCCCCACAGCCTTCCACAGAGCAGCCCCAACTTTTACAACCTAGACTTTGAAATAAAAGTGCTATTTGCTTAGAGAAAAATAAAGAGTTTTGCTAAAAGAGAATGCCTGTACTTATTTCATAGGAGTAAGACTGAAAATCCAGGGATCTAGCTCAGCTTCCACCTCACCCTCAGACACACACTGAGAATGCATCGCAGCACATGTCACCTGCCCGTTGCCCCAGGAGCACGTATCAAACAACCCTGAGCCTGGCGAGTAACCACTACCAACCAGCTGCAATGACTTCGGCACACAGTGGGATGCACACCCACTGTGTGCAGGACGCACGGTTCGCCAAGTACCCTCGGCGCTCTCCGCTGGGGCGCAGGCGGCGGGGAGGCTCACCTCTTGTAGGCTGAATGGTCGTTCTTCACGCTGCACTTCATGTTCTTCAGCTCGTCCAGCACGGCGAACATGTTGATGAACTTGCCCAGCGTGATCAGGTAGGCCTCAGACACAAAGTCCTTCCTCCTCTCCGCGTGGCACAGGCGCCTCACCTCCCCACAGAAACGCTCGATGGCGTTCCGCTGAGCAGAGGAAGGGGGGCAGGAAAGCCGCTGTCAGCAAAGGGCCAGTTCCACGCCCGCCTTGGAGCACAGTATCCATACCCACTCACAAAACACCCACCCAAGTGCATGGATATTTAAAGCGCAGGAAAGAGACTCCACGTGCCTTTACTCTGTGACAATCATTATTAATTTTGCGCTTTACCAACCGTGTCCCTACATTAACAGAATTTTACTGATTATTCCACTAAAGTTACTGGACAAAATGCTCTCAGAGGACATCTATAAAACAGAAGTTTGAGCTTTCAGAGGGGAAGGGGGGTGTCCTAACCTGAAAGGTGTTTCTTAGTGGTTAGAGCATTGGCCTGCGCACAAAGGGTCGCAAATTCGATTCCTGCTCAAGGGCACGTACTTGGGTTGCAGGTTTGATCCCCGATGTGTCTCTCTTACATCCATGTTTCCCTACTCCCCCCTTCCCTACTCCCCTCTCTCTAAAAATAAATGGAGCCCGGCCGGGCATGGCTCAGCGGTTGAGCATTGATCTAGGATCCAGGAGATCGAGGTTCGATTCCCAGTCAGGGCACATACCCAGGTTGCAGGCGCGATCCCCCGTTCTGGGCGTGAAGGAGGCAGCCAATGAATGACTCTCTCATCACTGATGTTTCTATCTCTCTCTCCCTCTTCCTTCCTCTCTCTGAAATCAATAAAGATATATTTTTTAAAAATAAAAATAAATAGTATTTAAAAATAAAAATAAGTGGAAAAAATATCCTCAGGTGAGGATTAGTAAAAAATAAAAAAATAAAAGTCAGCAAGTCCTCTGTCCATGCAGCCACTCTGCCTAACCAAGGGCCAGAAGGGGCCAGGTGAGGCCACCTGAGTGAGTTTGAGAAAGAAAACACCTGAAAAACTGAGATTGGAAAGCATAACCTGGCCGAGAGGGGCGTACGTGGAGCTGAGAAAGCAGTCTTCACGAAGGAAACACTGGCTCTCAAGGAGAGAGGAGAAACACAAAGGCAGTGTTTATTCCAAAAGGGCAGGCGAAGCTTCCAGCTGCCACAGGCTTAGTTCCCTTTCGTCTCAGAAGCTGCCGAGGCCGCTTTAATTTACAGGCACTTGGTTTGCTGAGCTCATGGTGGCAGTGCCAGGGCACCATCCCACTCCTCTGTGTGAACCCCTACGATGACCTCGCTGCCTTACCTGGAAGTACATAAAATTCATCAGTTTTGTGACCTCGGGCTCCAGGACCTCCACGGTCTTCTCATAAATTTCCACCCTATTAGGTTGCTCGTTACATTTCACCTGGGAATAGACAAGTAGGGTAAAGAGGGTTCAACCCAGCCAGAAGCGGGGGGCGGGGGGCCTGCTAGAGCCGGGGTCCCTGACTGCGGAGGGGTGGAATTCAGGGGGCGGGGCTGGTGAAGTGGGGGCGTGGCCTGGAAGGGGTGGTCAGCGGAGCTGAGCAGGGCCTTGCTGGGGGGAGCTGGGGTGGGGCCGTGGTCTGGGGCGGAGC